AAGTGAAGACGCCATGACGGAGCCCTCAGTGTGGCATGTGGGGGCTGCCTGCAGCAGGGATCCCAGGTGCCCATGGCAGGCTGAGCGCCTCCAGGAGTTGCGCCCATTCCCACCCTGGAGGCAAGGGACTCGGTCAAGGGAACAGGGAGAAAAGTGCTCCAACCCCCGCTTTGTGCAAGTTCTGATCACAGTCTCCACGCGACGACAGAGCCCCGGCCGGCGTTCCTGCCTCAGCACTCACACACACACGTTTAAAGCTCAAAAGGTTAAATTATTTCAAGATTAACGTCCTCCAAAGAAGGGTGTTCCAGAAATTCAAATTCCTCTCCTTGTCATCACACTTAGTTGGTTTTTCTCCATAATTCAAGACATGTTTTCCAATTATGTGCATGATTACATAGGCAGACTACGCCAAATGGGGAAGACTTTTAAGCCCATTCTGATTGAAGCACTTAATTTTCTTGCAAACTGTACAAAATCAAGACCCATTATGGAGGCTGAATGTTGGCGGTTTTCAGTGGTTTGCATGAGTCCGGCCCTGGCACTCTCAGGAAAATTCCAATTGGGAAATTTGAAAAAGATGAAACAGGCCACCAGCCTGGCCACCTGCAGGCTCCCCTCCCCCACAGCAGGGTGGAGGCTGCTCTGCGGACAGGCTGGCTCCAACCACAAACTCCGGGAACCCTCACTCCCGTACTTTAACCACGTGAGCGCCAGCGGCTTCTCCACAGACTCAGGCAGGGCATCCATGGGGCAGGAGTGGTGCCACCCCCACATCTATCCAGAGGAAAGGGGCTCTCACCCTCGCCTCACAGCAGCCTCTGTCCACAGCTCCCTCTTCAAACACCACCATGGAGGTCTACACTCGCCAGCAGAGGTGAAATCTACGCTCGCTCACAGAGGTCCTATTTGCCCAGAGGTCTACACTTGCCCACACACAGGTCTACACTCATCCACACAGAGGTCTACACTCACTCACAGCGTCTATACTCGCCCACACAGAGGTCTACACTCACCCACAAACAGAGGTCTACACTCGCCCACACAGAGATCTACACTCACCCACACGGAGGTCTACACTCATCCACACAGAGGTCTACACTCACCCACAGCGTCTATACTCGCCCACACAGAGGTCTACACTCGCCCACAGTGTCTATACTCGCCCACACAGAGGTCTACACTCATCCATACAGAGGTCTACACTCGCCCAAATGGAGGTCTACACTCGCCCACACAGAGGTCTACACTCACCCACACGGAGGTCTACACTCGCCTACACAGAGGTCTACACTTGCCCACACAGAGGACTACACTCATCCACACAGAGGTCTACACTCACCCACAGCGTCTATACTCACCCACACAGAGGTCTACACTCATCCACACAGAGGTCTACGCTCACCCACACAGAGGTCTACACTAGCACACAGAGGTCTATAGTCGTCCACACAGAGGTCTACACTCACCCACAGCATCTACACTCGCCCACACAGAGGTCTACACTTGCCCACACAGAGGTCTAAATGCGCCCACACAGGTCTACATGCGCCCACAGAGGTCTACACTCATCCACAGAGGTCTATACTCACCCACAGCATCTACACTCGCCCACACAGCAGTCTACACTCGTCCACACAGAAGTCTACACTCATCCACAGCATCTACACTTGCCCACACAGAAGTCTACACTTGCCCACACAGAGGTCTACACTCACCCACACAGGTCTACACTCACCCAGCGTCTACACTCGCCCACACAGAGGTCTACACTCACCCACAGCATCTACACTCGCCCACACAGCGGTCTACACTCACCCACACAGAGGACTACACTCGCCCACAGCATCTACATTCGCCAGCACAGGTGGAGTCTACATTTGCCCACATGGATGACGTCTACAGACCTCCTGAGGATGAGGTCTGCACGGCTCACAGAGAACAGCTGGGGCCTGGAGGCCACCAGTCACAAAGAGAACAGCAGCTCTGTGTTGGCATCTTGGGGGTCACCAGCACGGATGGGGAAGCTGGAGGGTGATGGGAAGGTTTGTGGGCCGCAGTGAAGGTCCCACTGGTGATTGTAGCTGCTCTGCGCTGGGTCACCTGCCTCTGAGAGTCTGTGATTCTGAGAAAGGCCTGGTCCACGTGGAGGCACCTGCCCAGTCCAGGCAGTGGGCCACCATGCGGCCCAGGGGAGAGCATGCCACCCCTGCGGCGGCCCCACTGCAGCCCCTCGGACACCAACTGCGTGAGGATAGGCCCTCGGCGACTCCAGAAGTAAACCTTCTGCTGGCACAAACGCTCATGGCTGGACGCAGCCCCAGTGGTTACGGCCCACGCCTGTACACACGGACCCACACACAGAGGCCTCTGTCTCCAGGACCCCATGCCCCCAGCGCCCACCCGGAAACACTCGATGGTCTGTTTCTAAGGGAGATACCTGGTGCTTTCTCCACGAAGATGACTTTGGAGTCCTGCAGGAAGTTGTGGCCAGACAGGACCATCCTCTTCCCTCCCAGGACAGGGCAGCTGGCCACGCTCTGCTTCTCCACCAGAGGCAGCTCCTGGGCCGACCGCTGGGCTGCGGGGTCAGGAGACAGTGAGTGAGGCACCACCGGCCCGCCCGCCCCAGCATCCCTCAGATGCCCCCCCAGACGCCCAGGCCTTTGGGAACGGCTGCCTTCAGAGAGCTCCTCTGGGGACTGTGCGAACACTGTGAGCCGTCATGGAACAATGTGCAGCCATCCCTCCCCCCAACCGGTGCTGGGAGAGGCCACACTGTCCCCAGAGGCAGGCGGGCAGAGTGTTTGAGGGTGCACCACATACCCAGGTTCTCACACAGCCCGGGGGTCCCCCCGTCTTAGAGGCAGCCACACGGCAGAAAGGGCGTGGGGCAGGCGTCTGCGAGACATGCAGGGGCCAGTAGGAACAGGGTGGCAGGGGACAGCTGGGCAGGGCCACCATCACAGGGCAGGGGCCGGGGTGCGAGAGGATCCCCATCCCCGAGTCAGCCTGACGTTAGCATTGGGCAACAAAGGAACCAAACCAAGGCCCTCCGCTGAAATAGGGGGCAGGTGAGCGTGAGGACAGGTGCGTTTCCCGAGAGCCCACACCTGGGGCTGGGTCGGGCCATTCCGAGATGAGGGAAGCAGGAGTGGTTCTGACATGGTTGGTGGGTGGGTGAGGCCCCCCCACCCCGGGTTTCCTGGGGAACAGCTTAATAGACCTAGCCTGGGGTCCCGCTCCTGGGCAGAGAGAAGGCTGTGGGGATGCAGGGCACCCAATTTGCTAACAAAAGCTAGCAAAACGATCGCAAGAGGAAGGACCCCAGACCACACGGAAGCAGGACCACCAGGGACGCTGGGTGACACTCAGCTTCCCAACGTACCGTGGGAGGGTTAACGCAAATGTGACCACAGCAGGGATCTGTGTTTCAAGACAAACTTCCTTTCACTTTTTCCCCGCCCCCGTCGGTGCTGGGACCAGCCCAGGGCCTGTGCCGACGCTGCTAACCCGTGTCTGCTGTCACCACACAGGGTGGGACTGCCAGACGAGAGGCGTGCACCGAGACTGCCCAGGGAAACGTGTTAGCGGATGGGACCCACCGCTCGGGCCGTACAAAAGGTGAGGACGCGCTGTCGGTGTGACGGGGTACTCACAGCACTCGATGGGGTTGGAGGCCACCTGCAGCGACAGCGTGCGGCCGCTGGGCTGTGGGATGTGCACCCGGAACACCAGCCTCACGCGAGTGTTCTTCCTGCCAATGTCCGTCTCGCCCTTGCGCAGCTCGATGTCCGAGTTCCGGAGCTTCAGGATCCCGGCACAGTCGATGCTGCCCAAAACAGAAGTCCACTGCCTGCCGGTCCCACTCCACGGGCAAGGCACCTGTTCTCGCCGCTCCACCCGCCCGAGCCCCCAGGGCAGGACAGCCACACACCGGGGACAGGACACACCGTGCCCGTCTACCCCGGTGAGGGAGGGGGGCCGTGCAGACAGCCCAGTCCCTCTCACCCGCAGACACGGGCAGGCCCACAGCGTCGGCCGGTGCGTGGCCTGGAGGGACCCGAGCAGGACACGCCCCGGGAGCCCAGAGCCAGGACCTGCCCTTCCGTCTCGGGGCTAAGTTCATTTATTTAAGGTTCTGGCAGCAGCCCCATTGCTCAGCTCAAGATCCTGACTTTCCTACAGCTTCACAGGATTTTGTTTAGCTTCACTGAGCACTAGACTCCAGCACAACAGTCTGTGTACAGAATGCCGGGTGGAAACTGATACTGTTCCTCTCAGGAAGCGGAAGAGGCAGACGCTCAGACACTCAGCCGGCCCATTGGTGCGGACTGGGGACCGCGGTGGCTCCAGCTGTGCCCCTGCACCTGGACGGCTCTCACCGAAGTCACAGCTGCTGCTGCTGAGGACTCATGGGCTCTCCGACCACCCGACTGCCTGGTCTGGGGGAAACTGATTCCAGCTCTTGAACTAAACCCAAGGGCTGAGAATGAACTCAGAGGTGTGGGCAAATCCGGGAAAAGTCCACACGCAGAGAAAACTTTCCCTCTGTTTTCAACTCGAACGGTTTCATGACAAAACTTACCAAAATTCCACTCAAAGTCCTACACACTGTGGCCTGGCCTGCCCTACCTCCCACACTGTCCCCATGAACACCCCAAACTCTGCTGCCCCAGGGCCTTTGCACACACTGTCTCCCTGTATATACAGCTTTCTGCCTCAGGGACATGATTCTGAGCTCCAGGGGTCACCAAGCTCTGATACACCGCCCTGCGGCCCCAGCAGGATGTAAATGCCGTGGGATGACTGTGGTCTCTTTCTCTGTGGCGTCCACAGCTCAGTGATGTGCACGGCCCCTGACAGTCACTCAATTAGAGGATTCGTGAAGCTGTGAGTACAGGCCCCATTCAGAGATGAGGTGTGTAAGCCTCAGCTTATAAGGAATCCAACTCTAAAACTAGTGAGTCAGAGCTGACTACACATCAAGGTCTCCGAGAGACTGGGGCCCACGAACTGTGGCCCAGACGCAGTGTTCTCTGTAACTGTTCAATGTTTGCAGGTTAACCGTCCCTCCAGTTTGGGTCCTGTGTGGGAGCTGAATGCAGGCACTGGGGGAGGGGGTTCCTCACAGCTGCAGGACTATTTAAAGGGCTGAAACCCCAGAAAGATAGAAGTCGTCATTAACCTTGGTGAAGTTATTTACGGACTGGGCTACTGAGCTGTGGGATGTTGGGGATACTGACAGAGAGAAACATCGATGAGAGAGAAACATTGATCAGCTGCCTCCTGCATGTGCTGTGACCAGGGCCTGGGCCGGTGGGCAGTGCTTACATGGCTCTCATGTTGTTTTCTGGCAGAAGCGGGATCTCCAGGACTTTGGTGTTGGAGAGGACGGCCTCGTGGCTGGTGGTGGACACGGTCTTCCCCGTGATGCGGTGGACCTGGTAGAAGGCGTGTGGCCGCAGCAGGCGGTCGTCCGCCGTCCCGATGAACAGCTGCAGCGTGAGGGGCTCGCTCTCCAGGTAGCCGTGGAGCTGGCGAGAGAACAAACCTCCGCTCAGCGCCTGCGCACAGGCCGCTCAGAAGCAATTAAACTTTCATCAGCAGAGGCGAATTCAAAGGAAACGGTGACAGGTGCTTGGGGTTAGTCTCTCCCACTCGGCCCCTTGCTTCTCTGTGACGATGAAACCGGGAGCCTGGAAAGGCCCCCTGACCCCCAGGTCCGGGGGCAGTTGGTGACAGGCAGGCTTTCAACGCTGCTGCCCCTGCTCAAGCACACACAGGTGCACACGTACCCACTCACACACGTGCACACACACACGCACATGTGCAGCCACAGCCACCGCTGTGACCTGCACACGGGATGATGACAGTGATGATGCTCACAGCCATGCCGTCTCCTCTGCAGGGCAGGCAGGTGGGAAGGAGCCCCAGTCCCTCCCAGCACATGGGTCCCTCTGGGCATGGCGGGTCCCTCCAGGTGGCAGCTGCCTGCTCCTCAGACCCACATGCCTTCCATGTGTGTCACAGCCTGCGAGGACACCCTGTGTCCACTTGGCCAGTGACAGCTGTGAGGACCCCATGCAGCTGGGAGGCCACATCAGAAAGTTGGGCGACGCTAAGACTAAGCCATTTGCTTGGTAGAATCAAGTGCCCAATGGGACTTGATCCTTTTCTCCCTGTCTCAGGCGGCCCCCTTCAGAGGGACCAGTGGAAAGAGCAGTAGCTCTTTCACTATCGCCCCAGTGACACCATCCACAAGCTGTCACACACACAGACCAATTTGCAGCCCCTGAGATGCATGAATTTGCAGCTTCCAGTAACTCCCCAGAGGCCCTGAGACACCCAGCACAGGCTGGCTCAGGGCCTGGTGTCTGCTGTCCTGGCGAGCACTCTGCAGCTGCCCATTGGTGCTGACAGACCACACCTGTCACCTGCTGTGGCCAATGGAGCAGGAGGCTCTGAATGCCCTGGGGAGAGGTGACGGAGCCAGAGGAGGATGGTGCACAGAGGGTGAGTGCAGACATCCCCAGTCTGAAGAGGGGACAGTCCACTCATGCACACTCACCTTGCACACACTTACATGCATTCACATTCAGACACACATGTGCACACACAGGCTCTACACACACACACACACACACACCACGCACACTCATAATTACATGCACACTCAGCAGCCCCCAGCCCCTGGGGAGCCCTGTGTTTGGTGGGGAGACTGCACTCCTGGTTGCAGTGTGCATGTCCTAGTCTTATCTCCATCTGCCTGCCTGTGCCTCAGTCCTGAGCATTGCCAACGTGATCGACCTCAAAGTGGTCCTTTCGTGTTGAAATAATGAGTGTCATCCTGATCCTCAGGTCTCTGACACGTTTGGACTAATGACAGTGTGCAAGGCCTGTGCACACACATGGGGCACGTCTCCTGCCTGCAGCTGACACACCTGAGTTTCCACAGTGGCACAGGAGAGGCTGGCAGGAACAGAGAGCTGTGCTCAGCACGGGGTGTGGGGTGGTCTCTCCCTCGCCGGCTCCATCCACATGCTCTCCTCCTGGCCGCATGCAGGTGAACACCAAGGCAGACCTTCCCGGTCTCCACAGGGGACCCGCCAGCACCTGGCACTCACCTCAGGTGGCTCTTAACCTGCAGGAGCGACGTGTGTCCCCTGTGGACTGAAGACCTTTCTCCAGGTGCAGACGGGAGTGTCTGCGCGGGAACTGTGGGCGGTCAGTACGGGAGACCGAGGCCCGCTGTCTGGGCCACGCCTTCCCGCCTTCTTCCGGGAGTGCAATTCCAGTCTTTGCCAGGTTAGCGAATTTACTAAGAAACCTAACTCCACGCTGGACCCAAACCTACATTTATGACCAGAAAATATTAAATTTAAATCAGAGATTGATTAAGAAACAAATTCTGCCATTCTGTGTTCTACGTGGTAAACAATGCAAGAAAACGAGTCTTTGGCCTAAACCTCGTCTTGTGCGGCTCCGGTGAGCTCCTCGGAGGCAGGATGTAGTCCCATTGGCCTGACACGGCCAGGCTAGGGTCAGATGTTTTGAAAATGACAATTTAAAATCCCCTTGGGACTCCCACTGTGGAGATTATCAGATGGCATGTGGAATGCAATGGACTGTGGGTATAACTAGCCTTTTAAAAACATGCTATTTCAGTGAAAATGGGAATATATGGGGTTTAACCTGGAAGGTAAACATCTATTATTTAAAACATGAAGTTCATTTTAAGAAAAGCAATTTAAATACTTCACATGTTGCACTGCATGGTTTTCAGCCTCTGGCACATTATAGTATCTGTCAGGATAATATTTATAAAATTATCTGTCATAACAATGACCTCTCTATGCTAAACAAAATGCATTATTCCATTTCAAGGTGTAAGAGCTCCTGAGTTTTCTACACATAAAAATGTTTGTTTTTAGCTACTATGCTTAGCTCAGCACTTACACGTGAGATGACAGGTGAGGGGAGAGATTGAGGTCAAGTTTATTCAATGTTGAAATTCAAGCAGTGCTCCCAAGCCCATACCCCCAACACAGGCACACACATGCACACACTCACAAACACACACACAGGACACACACATGCACATACACACACACAGGGGAAGGCAGTATCGTGTGAACAAAAAAGTCAGTACGGGAGACCGAGGCCCTGGTTCATGATGACCTGCAGTTGAGGGAAATTAGTTCCATTTCAACTAGCCACTCTTAGTTGGTTTACTCACAAGCTAAGCAAGGAAACCTTAGCTTGTCTGTTCAAAGGGAAATTATACATTTAACCCAGATGTAAAATTTGTGTCTTTACCCAATGCCAAAAGAAACTATGCAGGGAGGGAAAATCCAGTTTAGAAAAGGGTTTCACTTCTTTTTACCCAAATGTTCCTGCTATGGATTAACTCAGAGGCTGTTTGTCGTATGAGAATCATCACGTTAATTACACTTTCAGTCCCCAGATGCTCGCTGCCAACTGCACAGGAGGCTGGGCCTGGTGGTGAAGGCGGTGGTGAGGGACAGGTCATGGGGAGTGAGGCTCCGAGGGGCTCCCGCCATGTCTCTGCCAGATAATGAAGAGGGAAATCACAGTCTCTAGCACCGGTTCTGGGACAGTGAGCGACAGGGGTGGCCATGAGCTAGTCTGGGGCTGGTGTCGGTGAGGGGAGGGGCGTGCT